GTCCTGGGATGGTACTTGGCCAGGGAACACACTGGCAAAATTCCGGCTTCAAAGCTTGTGTGGTTGGCGAATTGAAATACCGGACAGGCGGACGCACACAAATACACACACTGACAGGGTCGCTGCAATATGCGTTTTTGCTGCCTGTTGCAGCGCTCTAACGCTGCAAGGCAAAAACGCATAAAAAAAGAATCAGCGACACAACCAAAATTCGGAGGGAAAATGGTGATACCAGAAGTAGCATGACTCATGAATCTGTGGCCCAAAAGAGGGCCGTTGGGATAAGGGACGCAGTGAGCTACGCAGCGACTCATCGCCGCTTGGCTCGGGTACCTTTCAAACTGCCGCCACGCCTTGCCCGAACGCCGCGCTTGGCCTTCGAGGATCCTCTAACCTGCGCTTTCACGGTCGCCTTGATCGAAGATGACTTCGAAGGAGACTTCGAGCTTCCACTTCTGCCGACAGAACTCTTCGAGACCGTTCGTGAGGCCCCCTTCATCCGCCTGCTCTTCTCGCCTTTCTTGCCGCCCTTCCTGATCTGAGGACCCTTGCTTGGTGGGTTGCTTTGCTGCAGTTGATGGCTTCATTGCAAATCAGTTGCAGCTACTGGTAGTCAGTTTCGAGCCGGCCATTTATAGGGCCAAATTTGGGCGCCAAGTTGCAGTTTTTATGCGTTTTGTGCTGTGTAACAGCAGTACAAAACGCATATTGTCACGGGGTTGTCTGTCTGTCTATGTGTGTCTCATATTTTGTCCCGCACTTTCAACCCATGAAACACAAAAGCTAGGCGGCTGAAATTTCAGTATAGTGTTTCCTGCTAACGTGTGACGCAGCAAATTTAAGTCCAACCTCCCCGTGCCCGCGGGTAACATGTACGGCCTCGTATAAGTTTTTTCGGGTAAAATTATTATCAAGGGACCACGTAAGCCAAAAGGCTGAAATTTTGTGGGCATGTCCCCCGCCCATGTGCTACCCAGAAAATTTAAATCCAGCTTTCCCCTGCCCGCGGGTAATATGTACGCCCCCGTAGAAATTTTTGACCGATAAGTTATGTTGGGAACCACGAAGTCTAAAAAGCTGAAGTTTTAGAGTAATGGTCCCCTGTCCACGCTTAAACTTGCCTATTCAAATTCAGCGTTTCCGCGCTCTAGAGTATCACCTACGGGCTAGTGAAATTTTTTACGGGTAAATTATTATCTCGGGAACCACAGAGCCTAGGAAGCTGAAATTTTAGGGTTATGGCCCCTTACCCACATTCAACCTTGCCTATTCAAATTCAGCGTTCCTGCGCTCTTGGGTATCATTTACGGCCTCATGGAAATTTTGGCGGGTAAACTATTATCTCGGGAATCACGGAAAGATATTCACCCTTAAAGGTTTCAAATTCAGCTTTCATTCGCAGATTTGTGAATTTTTTAACTATTTTTCAATGTTTCAACTATTTTTGCATAGACTAAAGTGCAAAACAGTGAAAATCTTTAATAGGCAATCGATCGGTGGACTGAATTGCACAAAACGCATGATCGCACCGGCTAGTCTGGTGCGCGTTGCTATTTATTCGCTTCTGTTTCACGAAAAGTTACCTACTGACTGGTCACACTTCGAGCATTGCCAGGAAATAAAAGCAAGAAAAAA